CTGGCTACTCGCCCTATAGGACCCGTCGCTCAACCGGAGCAAGTACCAGCCGAGCTTCGAAAACGAGCTTTCGAAGCAAGAGATTTGATCAGCTTCGCGAGAGAGAGAGAAAGCCGGGGTCTTCCGCACCTCCTCCTCCGCCGGCCCAGACGCAGGTCTCTCTGCCACCGGACCCCGGTAAGCCCGCCTTCCGATCATCCTCCGAATTCCGCCGTTCTCGCGAAAGTGTCTGTCTGGCTGAACACTCTGTGTCGATTTCGAGAGTCGATCGTTATCTCGAGTCGAACCCTTCGTTTGTAGGGTGGCGAGGTTGATGTTTCTTCGTCTTCCTCGCCTATGTTGATTCCAGTGAAATGCCGGAAGGAAGGAAAATGTGATGCCATGTGACGTGACGTAATAGTGTCAAATCGCGAGAAAATTTGCTCGCAACGGAGCTCTTGAGTGTGTGAAAAACCTAATTTGTTGAGCGCTGAAGTTGCTTGCTTTTAATCCGGTTGGCTAATTCTCGCTGCCTTTGGCTTGGTGGTATTGTGTTGAGTCCTGTGGAGCCGTGCTTATGGACAGGGGATGGGAAAAGTTATTCGAGAAGCCGGCTAAGGCGGCGGTGCATTGGGATTTGCCATTGTTCTGACTATGTATTGTTCTGTCAATGCATCGCGAAACGATTTTAACTAAATTTACACTACCTTGAAGGCTGCTAGACGTAAAAGAAAAGAAAAAAAAATTATGTGAATATACAGATTGTAGATTGTCTCGGAGTGAGGTATTTGTAATAGAAAGTAAATCTTCATCTTGTTTCGATTATCTTTTAAACAAGCAAGTGGGATTTACTTCATTTTCACTTTTATGTGTCAAAGCAACTCGTTCCATGATACTTTGGGCCACTAGGAGTCTGCATTTCCATAGATGTATGAAGTAATGCGGTAGGTCTTGTCCATTGTGGGAATAATTTTATGTGTCCAGTTCATATTTGCTGTTTAGAAGCATTTGAATCCTATTTTCCATACTGTGTTGCTTCCTTAGTCTCTTTTTGCTCATTGAATGTTGAATGTCCTTTAGGTTTTCGTGCTCGTAATCGAGTAGAGTTTCTAATAGTTCCACCTAAGAACTCATTTTTTTGGAAAATTAGAGTTCTTTTCTGATGATTCAAGCATTGTGTAATCTGCAGCTAACTTTTCCAGATGCTATATATTTGGTTGATGCCATTTAGGGAGGTGAGATGCTCATGAAGGCTTGCAAGCCTGCACTCGAGTCTATGTACGTCACCAAAGTTATTCATGACTGCAAACGAGATAGTGAGGTCTCTAACTGGTTTTATTTGCTTTTGCATCTCAACCACTCTCACATACATTATGACACACAGTTCTTGTGCTTGGACATTTGATTTTGTAAGCTTTGTACTTCCATTTTGGCATCAAATTGAATAATGTTGTGGATACTCAGGTGAGCATTTCGTATGAAATTTCAGTCTTATGGTAGGCTTTGTCTTTTGTTTATGCAACTTGATGCAACAATTGATTGAGGAGGCTTACTTAAGTTTATAAAGTTATTGGGAATAACAAATTGTTGTGATTTAAGCAGATTGCCTACCACCCTATAGAGGAGCAAGAAGGAAGGAAGCGATTGCCCGATGATTACATATCTTTTGTCAGCCTTCTTGCAGATCCACGTTGTGGTGGTATAGTGCATCTTCTGTTATTGCTCGGGCTCTTACTTTTGGTTGGGGGGCATACTTTTTTGCATGTTCTAGGATCAAGAAAAGTACTCTGGAACAGAACTTTATGTTTACTCTTGTCTGCCTTCAACTCTTGTGTGGTTAACGATTATCAGAGTGAAGAATGTATGGAAGAACTACGGTGGTCTTCTTTGATTTTATTTGTTTGAGGAGTAATCAAGATACTCATCTGGGCTTCTCACACGTCAATGTCTATGGGAACTACAATATGAAATGACATCCAAATTGCACATCATGTGGGGCGTTTTAATTTCTTCTTCTCTGGTTTTGATACAGGCATATCTTATCTCGAGGAGGAAGAAGTTCGTATCCTCCTTATGCAGGTGAGTTGTCAGTATTTGATTAGTTGTGGTCATCGTGAGGAAGCCAGTTGTTTTTGCCTTTGCACTCACTCCACCAGGATTGATATCTGGTTCAGTTTTCCAAACTATGATCTGTGATGCATCAATACTTGACACAAAAATGCTAAATACGCTACAACAAATATCTTTGTCGTTGGAGATTGCTTTGAGCTTTTGCTGCTACCTGTGCATTGCTTTTAGATCAGACCATGCTCAGGAATTATAGTTCTGATATTAAGGCTATTCAACAACAGCGAGTTCAACAGAGAGATTGTTTTATTTTACCTACAAATGTTGTGGCAATCACAATTTTCCCTCTGCAAAAGCGAATTATTAGTTGTTAATTAACTCAGCAGCAGTGTCTACCTTTCCAAATTCTGCCAAAGAGAATTTTGAATGCTAACTATTATTTCACTAGTGATCTGATCCACTAGACTCGCATACTATCATCTGAGTTACATTATGGAGTTCTTAAGCAGAAGCCAATCAAGAGATGATAATTTTTTTAGCATGGTTCATTAGTTCAGAGTAAATGGCCAGTTAAAAAATAACTCCAGTTTGAACAAATATATTAGTTTACATGTTGGTGATTGTTTCATTTATATGATAGCTCCAGTTGCTCTAACTATGCTTGTGACCACTAATGTGCACTTTTTACGTAGCCGCACGATGTGCCCAGTGCAAAATATTCTTTTGCCTTTCACTAATATGTGTGTTTCATTTACAGGACCCAAAGTTCTGGACATAAAGACCATTTTCTGAAATGATGATGCGTGCTGCTGCAGATGATGTTCGATTTCTTGTTTACATCTATCGCAGGATGATGGAGAAACTGAATGCACAATCCTTAAGGTATCTGGCAGTTGGCAGTGCTCTTTATTGTCGATGTTTTTGTATCAATGACAATAATTATGCTCATTGCCCATCTTTGCCTCCGATTCCAGGTTTAAAAATTACAGATAAAAATTTTTGGACTAGCTTTTGTTTATTCTGTATTTTTTGGTAACTGCTAGTTGCATCGTGTGGGGAACTAGTGCTTGCACTTGTTGACTTTGTCACCCCATCCTTCTAAGTCATTCAAGGGTTTCTGCTGGTATTTAATATGCGCTGAATTAGGATTGAGATGGGGAATTGTTCAAAAGATAGAAGGTTCGTGCAACTTTTTTTCCCGTTTTCAAATTGGAGCAGACATCAATGACAATTTAGATTGTACAGATGGGTGGAGATTTCCAGTGAATGACTTCCTGAGGTGCTTTTTCAAAGCTCAGCGAAGTTAACTTGGATAGTATAATGGTTGCTGAACGTGGCTGGCATAAATCAATACCACTATTTTCAGGGCCATTAATGTCTTCTTCAAGTGATGTTGCTTTCTACATTGCATGGTTGCATCAAATTTAAGTTCCAGTTTTTTTAAAGGTGCAAATGTGCAATATAGAGATGTTGCTTTAGCTTAGTACCATGTCTTTGTTGAGATAAGGTGCCACCTTTTAACTGGGCTTGTAGAAATTGCTTTGCTTGTGGATATGCCATCTTATGATTCAGTTTTTAATGCTAATATTTTATTTTTCAACATGAAAATAATTGTCAGATTTTGTTGTTAATGACTCGGGATGCATCACTTGCAGGTGGCATAGTATTATAAAAATGAGTTAACATGAGAATATCATAAGAGTTTTGTACTTTGAATGCTAAAACAAGAGCCTTGACTCGAGGACTAATTTCAGAGTACTTCACGTGTAGATGACATATCAGCAGCGGAAAATGCTCTAGAGGAGGAAATCCTCTGTGTTCTTGATGTTCCACCCGGAAAGATGGGTCGTGTTATTGGAAGGAGAGGAGCTTCAATAATGTCTGTTAAGGAATCTTGCAAGTAGATCTCTCTCTCTCTCTCTCTCTCTCTCTCTCTCTCTCTCTCTCTGCACCTGTGTGCTGTCATGACTATCTGTCCTGTTGAAAATACATGTCTGGTTTTCCTTACCATATTCTTGCTTTGACAGTGCTGAAATCTTGATTGGAGGTGCCAAAGGTCCACCTGACAAAGTTAGTTGCCAATCTGCTCCATATGTTCACTGCAATGTAGTTCAATTTGCTTTAGGGAGAAATCCCATTGAAGCTTTTTGGTATGATCTGTTCTGACAACTTCCTCCTTTAATAACAAGCATTGTGCTGTATGTAATTATTGATGCAAGTTTCTCAGGTGGGTTTAATTTCGGTGTAGGTATTCATCATAGGACCAATAAAGCAGGTGAGGAAGGCAGAAGCCATACTGCGTGGGAGAATGATGGATCTATAACGAGAGACAGCAGTTGCATCGCTTCTCTCATCCATCATCTTCACTATTCATGACAATCATGGCTTTCGCGGATATTGGAATTGGCTGTTGAAAAAATTGTGCTTGTTCTCACAAACTGTATAATGAACGCTTCGGTTGCTTTTCTGTTACACCTTCTCAATCAATATGCATACACAGATTGATTTCAAACTGCGCTTCATTTGGCAGTTGCTCCACAACGAGCTAGCTTGTGAATAGAATTTGCCCTTCTATTTGGTTTTAATCCTGTTGGCATTTTTATTGCTTCTCAAGGTAGTAAAACGACGCTATTCAACGCTACTCATGGATTCATGACTCCATGCTTTAAAATACGGACATTTTAAGCAGTTTAAATGATGAAGGGCTGTTTTCGATCTGACACCCTACACGTCCAAACTGCCATCACTTGTTTCTTCTTGCTCGGTTGTCTTCTTGCATCTCTTGTTACGATTACAAAAACCTGATGGACTCAATAATTGTCCATGGGATTATTACCTTGTCGATCAATGACACTCTGCGACAGAGTATGGATATGTTTATAGATTGCCATAGTGGCACTCGCAATTTTTCAAACTAAATATACTGAGAGAGAGAGAATTCTAACTCCGATATAAAATGTCCAGGCTTATATTCTCATTTTATTGCAAACCTCTAATTTACTATCACATTCCTCTACTGGGTTGAAACTGAACAGAGCACCATTAAACTCGAACACTATAGTTGCTCCATAAAACTAATGGCCCACAGAACTCAACAACCATCCAATTCACACAAGTTACCTTTCCACGGCATTCATCGACTCTTAATACTTACAACATCATACCAGAAATGCTGTTCGGTGTCCGTACAGAAGAAACCCCAAACCGTTTCTCTTGAGACAATATACTTTTGGTGAATACTCAAGACAAAAAAAATGAGAAGTCAAACAAGAAAAGGGAAAAAATGGACGAATTATTTCTTGAAGCTACCATATTGAGATTGTCTAGCAAAGCTTGAGAAGTCGTCTCCACTGGTCGCTTGTGATGATGTAAAACCTGACATACCAAGACCAGTCCCTGTACCCACGGCTCTTCCCATGTAAAATGAAGTTGGGGGACCCCTTTCCCTTTCATCCGAACCATCACTTAACCCACCAACTACATCCACATCTGCAAGTGAAACCTTCTTGGCTGCAAGTTTTATGAGCAAACAAAACATAGCCACATTAGTCATCTTGTAGACACTTCCCAACCACAGTGCGAGTTTGTGTTATAGTACAATAGGCATAAGTTGCAGTGTGCCGTGGGTGCACAAGTGTACTGAGCACGAGGGGAAACATCCATTCTACATTCCAAAAAACCAAGTACATCATCATTTGGCTGAGCCAAGAAGGTACAGCAGCAGACATATTTAAAGTAAAAAACGCGTGAGGCTGAAGCAAATAATCACAATATGAGAATGAGCCAGATGACTGATTTTGCTAGAACAACTTCAAGGTGTTCTTGCTCCCCCAACAGGTCACAATGACTTGAAAGAATTCACAGAACTTCAGCATTTGCACAATTTGTATTCCATGACACATAAATTGCTTCTGTAAACGACCCCTGATAATTCAAAGAGATTGCTAATTAGACCAAATACATCTATACAACACATTTATTTTTGTATTTAAGTTGAACGCGTAAGAATTATAAGATATGAGGCTAGGGAACAACTGCAATGCCACAAGACGAGCTTAGATATACTTACGAGCAGATATATTAAGATCAATCAGTCCACGGCTGAGGGAATCTGCCCAAATTCCAGACTTGACATGGAATGCGTCCTTCTTTGGTTGTGGATTTGAGACAGCTGAAGCCTTCTTACTTGAGTCACTCATGTTGGAATCATTGACAGGGTTTTGGGAAGGTCCTGCTGATGTTGAATCAGAACTGAAAGTGAATAAGCCAAAAGGATAAGAGCTGTCCAAATTGTTTAGTGGAATAGCAGCAAATGGGTCCACTATAGGGTTAGTGGGAACAGCTTGTATGGGCTTGGTTTCGTGTTGAGTAACCGGGTGGCGCAAGCAAATAGGTCAATTGGTGCGTAAACCGTAGAAGATACAAGAAAGTGTGAGCAAATAGATCCACGTCGCCCGCAAAGAATTCATATAATCAACACATGCGCAAAATCATCGATGTTAGCTTGTGACTGAAAAAAAGAGTAGCTGCCCCTAAGAGATCAAATTCTTCCTTGCAGTGAAAGGATAGCAAGAGTGAGTTACAAGGGCAGTAGTAAGCAGCACCAGATAGTCCACAATTAAAAAACTCAAGACTATTTCAACTTCTTCTCAGATGATTCTACCGAAGGAGGTGCCGAAACAAAACTTGCATCAGCAAAAAGGTCAACCTCAGATGAATTTTCATTGAAGGAAGAAGCATTAGTCAGAACAGATATTGGTCCATCCAACAGATCTCCAATCAAGTCCTGCCCAAAAAGATCCACTTGGTTTGCATTTCCAGCACTAGACTCTGCAAAAATTTAAGCTGACTGTCTGAAGATAGCAAACAACCTCCAGTAAATTTGGTATAACGTTTCATTCTTTGATGCCATATGCAAAAGATGTCTTACCTTCACAATATTGTCTGCGTACTTCATCACTGTAGACACAGCGATGCCACTGCTTACACCCAAAAGCAGATTGTTCTATTCATCAACAATTCAACATCAAAATATGCCATTGTTGATTCTAGAAGGAGCAGTGAACTGTACAAGTCCCAAAAACAGTTTGCAAATCGATCCTACCCCACGTAGAAGTGCATACTTATAGCAAAAAGACCCAAAGTTGCACTAACTGAAGTTAGTTAACTACCTACACTAATAACTACAAATTTTGTCAAAGGTCAATCCTGCAAAAAAAGGAGAGTTTAGAATTACTTCATGCAAAAATGAGCTAAAATAATTGATGGAATCATTTTATCACATTAAACAAGCATCATACCTTGTGCAAGGTGCCTCCTATGAATGAAGACGCTTTTCTCTTTCTCTTTTCCGTAACGCCCTTGATCCGAGTATTTGGTACACCTTTTGGCCTTCTCCGATGTGGATCAAGTACTTGAATTCCACAATTTTCTGCATATTCAACTTCATCACCTTCCACCAAGAAATCAACATGATCTTTACCCGTTAAAGATTGCATTTTATTTGTGATTTGGGAGCGAAGACGCTACAAGGTTGTAGTTGCAAGCTCCTCTGTAACATCATGATTGGCACCGTCATTCATAACATTGAAAGCTAACCGCATCAACCTCTTCAAACGCAATGTCTTTGATTTAACCGCACAATGAGAGCTTTGTGCAATGTCTTCAAAATAAGTCCCTAATTTTGCGACTTTTGTCCACCTCTTCAAAATGTATTGTGATGGAATGCTTATAACATTTACAACACGGGTCAAGATGCATAAAGTATGCCTACACAACCATCCTTGCATTTCAAATAATTTGCAGCTACATGTAATGGTAGAATCACTTGAACTAAAATGGACAATGTGCTTCCGTTCACTACTTCCGGTTACCACGATATAAGTGTGCAACGGCCCATCAGTTTCTGATCTAAGAACATGTACAGACAAAACATGCATGAACTCAACCTGAAAATTCCTATAAATGACATGAGTATATATGCTTGCAGCATGTTTCAAAATTGCATTGTCAACCATAATTCGTGGCTTTCCTCGAGCACACTCAAAATCATCAACAACTTCAGTATTGCGCATTTTTTCAGATTGCTTTTCATAATGTTTGACAAATTCAGTCAAAGTCATGGTCTTGCATGCCATATCTTGAAAGACACTATTCGTGCTTTCGCTTCTCTGTGTAGATCTAATTCCTGCAGAAAAGAAATCACGGCCAAATGCAGGACACCATTTATGACGCAGTTGAAACAAACTATCCAACCACTTGTTGTCACCCAAGCTCCACTCTTGACACATTGCTTTCCAAATGTTCTCCAGTTCCAGTTCAGATTCACAATCATATAGAAGCTTTTGCCAATATTTATCACGAAAATCTGGCTTTCCAAGAAGATGTGCAATATGATGTGTAGCATTTTTCGCAATATGCCATACACATAAGCGATGATCAGAATTCGGAAAAACAGTTCTAATAGCATTTGCCATGGCATGATCTTGATCTGTGAAAATAGTCTTGGGTGCTTTATTACCCATCACCTCTAAAAAGGATTGAAATGCCCAAACAAAAGAACCAATAGTTTCATCCGACAAAAAAGCACAACCAAATATCACATTTTTCCAATGATGATTCACGCGAACAAATGGTGCACATATCATATTGTACTTATTTGTACGGTAAGTGGTATCAAATACCAACACATCGCCAAAACTTTCATAGTCCAACTTGGATACACCATCGGACCAAAAGAAATTGGTCAGTCTCTGTTCCTCATCCAATTGAAATGTATAAGAAAAATTGCTTCCATTTGATTGTAAGTAATTAAAATGGTTAATAAGACTTTGACAATCCCCTGCACTAATCAAGTTCCTTCTTTTGGATTGCAAGAAATTTTGACAATCACGTAATGTGAAGCCAACATTTTCTGGCCCCCCCGCTTCACCGCTAAGGTAGGTATATGCTTTTGTAGCCCTTATACCAGCCCCTGCCATGGAAGTCAATATACCTTTACTAGTGTCCGTGATGCGTCGATATGATCGTATAAGATGTTTTTGTTTGTCTTCAATGAAGGGATGATTATGGACATCCTCAAACTTGGAAACTACCCAAACTCCATCTTCAATTACGAATTTAATGCAAGCTTGACATCCAGTTCTCTTCACTGTCCTATAAACATCTCTTTGTTCATGAGGTGGGATTGGTGGAGAGTGTCCTTCACAATTACAAACAAATTTGCATCGTCGCAATATTCCTTTGCTATTACTTGCTTTTTGTCCTTTTCGCACTCCAAATCCCTTGCAAATTGCATATGCATTGTATGTATTATAAGCTTCGTCCTCATTAGCAAACACCATACCAATTCTAAATTCAAATTCTTCATCAACATTATGCACGATGATATTATCTTTTGGAGCCTCTACAATTTAAAAAAAATATCTAATTATTTAGAGAAGAAAGATAAAGTGGCAACAAATTTAATTCTAAAAAGATGAAGACATACCCATTTATCCCGAGAACAAGTCAATTTAACTATGGGGGACTGGAATATGCTTTCACTTCTTCAAATCAACATCTACCGCAAAACAGACGTTCACAACTTAAAAGAAGACAAGAGAAAATGTCTAATGTTGCAAACCAAAAAGGAAATAGCAGCATACCATGACATATAAATCACCCTGTCGACCCTTGTAGTGTACTTTTAGTGCACCATGACTACCACCGAGAGTGCTGTGTATAAATGCCAGAAAAAAAATGTGTTAATGACAGAATGTGACAAAAAGGAATAATAATATGATAGGACAAGAATACTTACTTGGTTGTGTTCAGGATTTGATGTGGTGATTTCTTTTAATTTCTGTTCCTACTGCAAATTGAACAAGCGAATGTTCTATCTAAAACCAACCCTTAGAGATAAGGGCAGTGCAAAGTCATAATGATGCCTTCCCTTCTTTTGCAGCATATGTATACCACCAAAAGCAGCACATGGAACACAACAAGACATGATATGGCTATGGCAAGTTTACCACCAGTGGACAAGCCGTCATTTTATACAAAATAGAGGACATGCGAAGAAGGTACACCACACAAGCCTTTGTTATGAAACAAAATGCTCATGAAAATACTTTAAGGTGGAAAAACAGATCAAGTACACTACTATAATGCAACCTAACCTAAAAAGAAAATGACAGGCAAGTTATCAGACAAACTCAAAGACCCTTCTTTTTGCGCTAAAAAAAAAAGAACTGAAATGACCAACAGGTCATTAGTATGCTGCCAGCAAGAATTGACGTATAGCTTCATGCAGGATGATAAGAAGCGAAGATGACTAACTCGAGCCTAATAGGACATAGATCAAGAAGCCAATTTCAGGGCAGGACTCAATATGAGATCAATGAACCAAACGACTCGTTAGCAAAACATTATAAAATTTCAGCAAACTATCCACGACTTGATGATTGAGCAACTTGCACAGACGTTACTTTCATGGAGCAGTCTGTATCAAGCTATTGAATTAATTACCAAAGAAAACACATAGAACGCTGCTGCTAGCAGATTTGGTATTTCCAAAAATGAGGATTGGGATGTTCCAACTTGAAAAGATCTTATTTTTCTTCGGTATATATCTCTAATCAGAACAGGTAGTATATTCATGGATATTAACGGCACGAAAAGACTTGTAGCATTAAGGAGGATTAAAAAGTTAAAAGACGTCTTATTGGACAATGTACATATGCCAAGTCACGTAATGTCCGCCACCTATCCCAAGCAAGACTTTCTTCTTAGCAACATCCCTGATACAGTATTAGAGGCAAATATATAATTCCATGGTCTTGAGCAATAAAGGACTAATATTTACAATCATGAGCAATTGTGCTGTCTTAGTTTCCTTAACTCAGCATTTCACATCTACGATGAAGGTGAATATCTTTTGTAAAGAAAGACATAAGTTGTATTGCTTCCCCAATAGTCTTTCGAAGGGGAGCAAACACATCTACAAAGTGTTGAATTCAGTCACAAAGTCATACAAATAGCCTAGAAATGATATTGCCAAAGAAAGGCTAATTTCTTATAATATCAGTTAAAGCATGAGTGAATACCTGCTCCAGCTCTCAACTGCAAGCTCTCCTCCAAGCCCAAGACCTTCCCAAACCAACTTCATCAGAACAAGTCATATGTCAAACTAAGGAATTAACAAAATCTAAAAAAAGGATCAAATTCAGGAGCAAGAAGATGAGTACTTTTACACAACTATAGAAGGAATTACTAATAACACCCCTTGAAATGCCATTGTACACTTATTCATCCTAAAGTTTGAAATGATGCACCGATTATTTTTCCAGTGTTATAGGATCAACACAGAATTTTGCCTCACCAAGAACAACTGATTTTGTGTAAGGGTTACAAAAGGAGGGGTTGTTGTAGGATTTGTTCATACAAATCCGCAAACAATATATGAGTTAGTGTTATATCAGTATGATGAAGGCAGTTATCGTCGTGATTTACTATAGAATTGCATACAGTCAAACCACTATTGCACCGTATCCACCATGATAACTGCAAATGACATACCGAAATGCGCAAACTAATCACTACAAGAGGCAAATTAAAAGTGGAGACATGCCACTAAATAGTACTCTATATAAAAAAAAGCTGTGAACAAAACTTGAGCAATGACTTTAGCAGCATCTAGGCTCATCGAGTATCCTTTGGTGCTCTCTAAATCAAGCACAAAAACACCATTGTATTGAGAATTACTATGTATTGACAAGACCTACCGCATTACTTCATACATCTATGGAAATGCAGACTCCTAGTGGCCCAAAGTATCATGGAACGAGTTGCTTTGACACATAAAAGTGAAAATGAAGTAAATCCCACTTGCTTGTTTAAAAGATAATCGAAACAAGATGAAGATTTACTTTCTATTACAAATACCTCACTCCGAGACAATCTACAATCTGTATATACACATAATTTTTTTTTCTTTTCTTTTACGTCTAGCAGCCTTCAAGGTAGTGTAAATTTAGTTAAAATCGTTTCGCGATGCATTGACGAGAACAATACATAGTCGAACAATGGCAAATCCCAATGCACCGCCGCCTTAGCCGGCTTCTCGAATAACTTCTCCCATCCCCTGTCCATAAGCACGGCTCCACAGACTCAACACAATACCACCAAGCCAAAGGCGTGAGAATTAGCCAACCGGATTAAAAGCAAGCAACTTCCGGGCTCAACAAATTAGGTTTTTCACACACTCAAGAGCTCCGTTGCGAGCAAATTTTCTCGCGATTTGACACTATTACGTCACGTCACATGGCATCACATTTTCCTTCCTTCCGGCATTTCACTTGGAATCAACATAGGCGAGGAAGACGAAGAAACATCAACCTCGCCACCCTACAAACGAAGGGTTCGACTCGAGATAACGATCGACTCTCGAAATCGACACGAGTGTTCACTGGACAAACACTTTCGAGAACGGCGGAATTCGGAGGATGATCGGAAGGCGGGCTTACGGGTCCGTGGCGCAGAGACTGCGTCTCGGGCCGCGGAGGAGGAGGTGCGGAAGACCCAGCTTTCTCTCTCGCGAAGCCGATCAAATCTCTTGCTTGAAAAGCTCGTTTTCGAAGCTCGGCTGGGTACTTGCTCCGGTTGAGCGACGGGTCCTATAGGGGCGAGTAGCTAGCCCCGGAGGTGTAAAGCGGGTCGGGTCCGGGTCTTGGCAAGGACCAGCCGAGAGGCGTCGAGGACGGCGGCACGACGTCGACGAGAGTTCGACTTCGCCTCTTCGGGTCGTCCGGCTAAAACCACGGCTCGCGTCAGTCTCTCTCTCCGACGACCTTTTTCTTCATAGGGAAGCTCGTGCCATCAGCCCTCCAACCCCGACTCCACTCCACCAAGCCTCCATCATTTTCCAGCGGCGCGTTGGCGATGGTCATCCGGAGATGATCCTCGGATTTTGCGAGACGAAGAGAGGGAGGTGTGAAGCCTGAGGTCTGAAATTTTGAAATAATATTTTCTCGAGGGTGGGGGAGAAGACAAGACGCTGGAAAGGACAAGAGACAGCGCGCGTTTGAAAAACCTATTTTTTCTTTTTTTAAAATGTATGGATTGTGAATAGTTAATGGGTGATCTCGGCCTCTTGGATGAATTTTCAATCGTGTTAACCTTTTTTAATATCTAGTGCGTTATTCTTACTTTTTTACCTTTAGGGATTTGCAAGCACCTCCCCGAGACTGAAAATATCAAGGCAAATGATAAAGCTCCTTCTCTCCCCTATCTCCTGAGAAAATATTCAGTGGTATGATACTGCCACGTCATTGTCCTACGTGGCGTATCTGTTCCATTAAGAAGCTGACATGTGTCAAGTGACGTGGAACATACATTTTAATAAACTAAATGAACCCGATTTCTTTTAAAATTTTCTAGATAATCCTTAGTTTACAATGTAAAAAGAATATCCGACCCTATAGCAGATGATTGGTCAATTTTTTATGCCTTATATGATGTTATCTATGGCAAATAGTTGGCTATTAACTGTATCTTTTACACAATTTATCAATATTTTATTCCTTATATGATGTTATTTTTTGACTTTATAAATAACCCGTGTCTCGAATATTTAATTGAAAAATAGCCGTCTTTGATTTAAGAAAGATTTGTTGTCGTAATAAAAAAAAAACAAAAAGTCCATGTGAACTATATGTCGGAAATATGGATAAATTGATGGGTGAATGTTGACACCTATTTTTAATTTGCCCAAAATTAATTGCACAAAATTTAGGAATTAATTTTCTTTAATTCCTAAAACAAAAAAATATTTCTATTTAAATGCATTGCATATAGACATTAGGCATATGTGCATTAATAGGGCCTATTAGAGCATATTTTCTTAAATTTTAAACAAAATTTTTTTTAAAAAAAAATCGAAATCGATTCGGGCCGGGTTGGGCCGACCCGGCCCTTTTCTTCCTTTTTCTTTTTCCTCTGCGCGGGCCCGCCGTTTCCTTTTCTTTTTTCCTCTGCGCGGACTGGGCCTGGCCCGGCCCAACCCCTTCCTCTCTTCCTTCTCCCTCGCCGATCGCTCTCTCGCCCTTGTTCTCCCTTGTTCGCGATGGCAGCATGACGCACGGCGGCGTTGCTCCTCGGCGTCGCTATCCGGCCAGAGTAGGGCCGAGGCAGCACGCCACAAGGACTGGCCATTAAGGCCAGTCCCGTCTTCCCCATTTCCCGGGCTCTGTCTCCCTCTCTGCCCCGTCTCTTTGCACCCTCTCTGCACCACCGCCCCCTACTGCTCTGCTTTGCACCGGTCTGCCATGGCCGCGAAAGTCGCGGGGCAGGTAGGCCGGTGCAGGCCGTCATCATTGCAGACGTAACGAAACCGGGGGACGCCGACGTTCGCCTATAAAAACGAGAGAGAGAGAGAGAGCCCGGGTCGGTCGTTTGGAAAGACAGAGAGAGAAACCGAGAGAGACCGAGAGAGAATAGAGAGAGAAAGAGAGGAGAGTGGGTTTTTACAGGTCCTCAGCCGCGTCGCCGTCGCCCCTCGATCAACCGGAAGTCCCCCACGCGTGTTGTGAGCCTCTCCCGTCCGTGCCCTATTTGTCTTCCTCTTGAACGGTCGCGGACTCGCGCCGTGAGTGCGCGATTCCTGGCCCATGTTGATCGCTTCCTTGATCAAACGTCGCCGGCGGCCGTCGGAGCCGACCGTGCCGCCGAGGAGGTCGAAATCGGCCGATTTCCACCGCGCACGCCCAGTGTTCGAGAAAATGCCTCAATGAGGCTGGTTTTTGTCTCGTCGCCGGCCGGCGAACGGCGGTCCGACGGCGGCTCAGGTGAGTGGTGTAGCTTAATGGTGGTATAGGGGGTCAATTTGGGGGGAGGCGCCGGTCTGGGTCGGCCGGCGGACAGCCAATTTTGGCTCCGCCGGCGTTTCTCCCCCCGCGGGTCTGCGAGTTCGGGTCAGACCCGACCCGAATCAGCAGATCCGACCCGGGTCAACACCCGGGTCGGATCCGTTGACTCGGGTCGATCGAAACCGACCCGGATCAGCCGATTCGACCCGGGTCAACGCCCGGGTCGGATCTGTTGACCCGGGTCGGATCCGTTGACCCGGGTCGGTTCCGACCCGGATCCGCCCGACCCGGTTTTATTATAATATTATTTTTAAAAAATAATAAAAAAATAAAAAATTTTAAAAAAATTAATTAATTAATTATTTATTTTTTAAAAATAATTTTTTTTTCTGTAAATTTTTTTTTTCGAAAAAAAATAAAATAAAATTATGTGATATATTTGAATGTTTTAATTTATTGTATTATTATGCATATTTTTGTCTTGTTTAAATTAGACAAGCTTGAGGTTACGCTGTAGTATTTTGCATGTTAGTTTTTATTATCGCTGTATTATTATGCATGTTTTTTAAAACAATCGCATGAGTTGTGTTTTGAATGTCATCTGACTTAGTTAAGGTTAGAACCTTAGGCTGCATGAATTGTTGTGTTCTTGACTGATGATCGTTTCTGATTATGCACTCGCTTGATCACCTCATATGTTAGGAGAAAGGTCCTAAAATCAATCCAAATTATCTGACAAATGTTTTCATGAAATGAACAGGATAAAAAGGTACCGAAAGGGCATTAGTTATCTAACTAGTGTAACCAAGTCCCCGAATTCAGTTAATCTCTGGTTCGTAGGAATATGGTGATTCTCCCATCACCCTATTTGGGTTTCTAATCGACCCACCCCAAATCGATTAGTGGCGACTCCTTGGTATAAACCACTTGCATGTTAAATACTTAAACCCTAAGTCGCGATATGGTATGGGCTTGGGAGGGCCCGAGTTAAGTCCCAAACCTAGACTTAGCACGTACCAGGCGAATCCTCCCTTTTTGCATGTTGTTTAAAAAGAGGGCTCGGGAGTTCGGTCGCGACAGACTGGCGACTCCGCTGGGGAGGTTGCATTTTTTAAAGTGGACTTAGGCCAAAAATTTTACCCTGTTCAAAATAATTTTTTTGGCAGCAAGGACTCCAGGTACGATACTAACATTAAGGTGTTATTTTTGCTTGCAGGTTCGAATTGATTGT